AGGGTTCCTGGTGGTCAGGGACAAATGCAATCGCATGGCAGGATGCTGTAAACGGACCAAACTTCAGTCAGGAGAACAACTGAGATAATCCATCCACAGGTTATTCATTAATATACTGCAACTACATGGGAACAGAGCAGCTGGAGAGAATTCAACATTAATGAATCAATGTTACGGAAGTGGAGGAAGCGCAGTTTTTGGCTTTCCCCATATTCCAAAAGTGCTTTATCTCTTTGCTATTTGCCATAATTTGCAGATGACGTTGTTTCCAGCTGCTGCAATGCTTTCGACCAAAACAGGCGCAGCTTGATGACACCATCAACATTTTGTTTGAAGCCAAAAGGGTACACGCATCCACATTTCTGTCAAGTGGACCCAACAAAGTATAATCCTGGATCTATAATGCACCACCTACATATGTTTTCCAGGCGGTGAACTTCAAATAAGTAGGTGTCTCTCACTTGGTCTGTTTTGAAGTCGCCATTAATTTGCTGTTTGCTACTGAAGCAGATCAACTGAGTCAGCTGCACTTCTTCTCCTGTGTCTTCCACCACACCCCAGCAGAAACCTGCTGATGCCCATGTGAGAAGAGCTTTGAAATCAGAAAAAGCCACTAATTTGGATCTAACTGCCTTCTACATGAACCTGTGTCCCCAACCTCTCACCTTCCCTTCCTAGCTCAGGAAGTAGAGCAGGTCACCTAATTGGGAGGTTGGTGGTTCTAATTCCCTAGTTGGGCAAGATAATGAATCCCAAGTTGTGAATGTGTGCATTAAAAGCACTCAGGTGTGTGAATGACGCAAGTTGTACAAAGATATATAAGAACCAGTCCATTTACCATCTACTTAACATTCAATGCAAAATCCTATAGAACCAACAGTGTCCTTCCACGATAGGATTTTTCAGGACTCCTGTAGTCTTTTTTTTTTTTTTACCAAAGTGGACTCATTTAAGTGTGTGTAAATCTGTGAAACTTAAACAGCAGATAATAAGACCTTGTATCTGGTGTACAGGTCCTCCAGATCTTCTGGTTCTGGTGCCAGGAAGGAGAGTCCCGTCTGAGGTCTGGAGCTCAGTACCGCCGGCATGTCTTCCTGCGAAGGCGACAATAAAAACACAAACATGTGGAGTTATAAACAGCTCTCAGCATTCAGGGACAAATCCAAAATCACAGAGACCCGCACAGCAGCTGCTTTACACAATCATCACAATCATTAGCTACTTTCACAGCTAGCTACCAATAACGGACTACTTTGCGGTGCTTAAAACACCGAGTTCCGCAATTAAACCATCATCTGACTAATTAATACACACATTTACTGAGTACGGGTTTACAAACTCCTCACATACTTAGAAACAAATCATTTTCCTTGAGATCTGCGAACGTGATGCTAACATTAGCTGCTAACTGGATGACATAGCAGCGGCGCCGAGAATGAATCGGCATGTTTGCGTTTCACCGTTTTAACGACCAGCAAAACAAACTGCGACACACACACGCTGACAGACACACTCTAACACGTGAGTTTACGAAAGCCCATCACACAGAATTCACTGTAAGAAA